ACATGTCAATTATTTATAATACAAAACCAATTTATACACAATTAGTTTGTAATATTTATTTAATTGAAATATTATCAATCAATATTATACCATCGGTGATTTTACATGCAGGCACTGTATAAAAGTTAACAGGTACGAGAAAAATATTTTAAACATTTTTAAAGTCTCTGCATTTTACTTGTGTTTAATACATGACATTTAATGCCTAAAATATTTTGAAAAATAAAATAATGTAATTACAGTTTAATCACTTTCAGCTCAAGTCTCGGTTATAAATAATAAATACGTCTGAATAGATCCAAATTTTTTAATTTCAAATTAAAGTACATTAATTAATTGTATTTAAAATTTAGTAAATTAAATAAATAAATATGCTGAAAATATTGCAATAAAAATATAAATTTCTACGATATAATGTAAACAACAAACTAACATATCATGATTAACCCTAAAAGCTTAAACTGGGAGATTAGTCTCCCATTTGCACTTTGAATTTCAATTAAAAATCAATGAAAAGTGTTAGCCAGAAAAAAATTCAGGAATGCCTCATAATTAGTTAGATTTATAAATTTGTAAAGTTATATAATTTTAAAATTAAATTATCATGATTAAATTGATTTAGTTAAAATGTTTGGGATAGTATTCTCCCAGTTTATGCGCAATGTAACTTTTTTACGCAGTATAAATAGTGCTAAATTTTATCTGTACTTAATGCATAAACTGGGAGAATAATCTCCCAGCATAAACAGCAATAAAGCGTGGGATATTAATCTCCCAGTTTATGCACTAACTGCTGGGAGATTACAATCCCAGTTTATTTACAACGTTCATAATTATAGTTTAAGCTTTAAGGGTTAACAAGATTTTTTGCTTACATTTATTTAACATTCTTTAGTGCTACTTAAACTAAAGTGACATTTAAACACTATTATCAATTAAATTGATGATAACATTAATAAAGATTAGAGGTAGATTTAAGGTATAAGGTATAAGGTAGAAATATATTTTATATAAACACGTCATATGCGCAAATATCGATCATTTGATAGCAAAATATTAAACTAATTTATTGCCAAAAGAATGCGTAAGTAAAATTGTTCTTACATTTTAAATAATCATGTAAATAGTAATTTACTGTTAAATGTAATTACTTAGTTCGCATAGTGTTAACATTGTCCATATTGTTAATTATTCACGTATCTGACGCGTGGTCGGGAGACGCAAAATGCGATGAACCTGAAAAGTACCTACCATGTACGTGCGACGAAAATCCTTATACTGGTGCGCGTAATATACGGTGTGCGGGCAATATTGCCGAAAACATTGCCACCATGTTTGAGCGAATAAGTAACTCGTTAGAAAATGAAACTGAATATAACTACCTCCTGCTCAACCAGTTGGACAACGTGGTCGAAATGCCCGCATCGGTATTCGGTAAACTAAAATTTGTATATTTATCAATCGAGATGAAACACCTCGACCGCATTCACCGTGACGCATTGGCCAACACTGACGTCACATTTCTGGATATCCTGAACACGCCTATAACCGACGCGCGTGCGCACGATTACGACCTGTTCGCGGCGGTTCGGGCAGCGAGCAAGCTCATTTCATTAGATGTGAGAAACTCAAATTTGACCATGATACCCGATGGGGCATTTCAATCCCACCCTAGTCTACGGTTTGTTGAATTACCCTGGGAACCAATAAAGGCTATTGGTCAAAACGCATTCGCCAATATGTCGCGATTATATCGTTTGACCCTAGCTACCTCACACCTTGTTACAATACCTGATCAGGTGTTTAACGTAGGTGAGCATCGTGGTGAAAAGTTAGAAATAAACTTGGATGGCAATTTGAGCAAGGCAAATTTGAATGAATTGACATTTACGGGTGTTAGCGATAACACCAGTTTATATCTTTGGAATAGTGGCCTTCAATACCTGGATGAAACTGTTTTCCGACCGTTCCTATTGAATAACCCAAACAATAAAATCTATACAAACAACTATTGCTTGAATAAAGGCAATGATTGGTTGCGCAATAATTACCCAAATAATTGGTTTTGTAACTAAAATGTTTTTTAAATAGAATTTAATTTTAACAATAAATAATAATTTACAGGTATATTTATGGTGGGTTGTTTGTGTCTCATATTTATTGCTAATAAAATATATAAATTAATCACTTGTATTTGTTTTTTAAATAATATTATGAAATTAATAATTCAAATAAAATTATATTTAAATAATTATTAGACCTATTTTTAAACTGACAATTTATTTTAATATCGTATTTATATTAACATCTCTCTCTCTCTCTCTCTCTCTCTCTCTATTTGTTAAAATAAATTAATAATTCCTTTAAAATATTATTATAAGTTATAATTCATATATGCTTCACAATTGTATACTGAATTACCAATACATATAAGATCTTTAACTAATTATAATGAATTTGTTAAACAAATTGTTTTTATGAATACTCATGTATTATTTAAGACACGTTCTTGAAAATTAATAAACATTATTATTATTATAAAATACATTGTACGGCCACAATGTTGAATTACTAATCATGTTAAAAGTAATTAAAAGTAATTCTATTATTGAAGATAACTTAGGCTAGAATTTTTATAACCTTATATTAAAATGATTAACATAAAGCTGATTTTAATCCTATATTTTATTAACTAATAATGTATTCTACTTTATATATTTTGACAAATAAGTTGCGTATGGTATAAAATAATAATGTAATTTATTATAATAAATTACAGTTATGTAATTATATTTAGCTTTAGAATCTTTATGAACTACCTTTTGCACATGAAACTGAAAAATCATTTATTATCACTCAAAATTTTCAGGTTAAAATATAATGTTGTAGTTACTAATTATAAACAATGCTAGATTTTACTAGAGAATAGATTTTAAAATAGAATTTACACCATGTTTACAATTAAAATATAACTAGGTTTAAATACGTATTTTAAAATAATTTATTACTTAAAATATGAATATTACAAATGGTAGTATTTTATTGATTAATACATTAGTTTATATGAAAATATACGTATGTATTGTCAGAATAAAAGTATTAAATTAAATATTAATACAATCGATATAACACCAGTTATCACAAGATATTTATTATCATCAACCTTATGATTTGAATTTGTTAATTATTCATAATAAAAAACACATTTATAAACAATTAGTTTGTAATGTTTATTTAATTAAAATATTAATAATCAATATTATTCTCTAATTAATTTTACCAACATGTACTGTGTGAATGCTACCAGGTACAAGAAAAGTATGTTTAACATTTTTAATACCTCAACATTTGTTATGTACAATACACTAAATGCCTAAAATGTTACAAATACAAAAAAGTGTTATAAACATTTTTAAAGCCTTTATCACTTGTACTTTAACAAACTTAAACCCTTTAATTTAAATTCAATTTTACGTTTAATTAAATTAGTTTGTTTAAATATTTAGTAATTAACAGCAATAAATATACTAGAAATATACTATAGTATTAATTTCTACAATACAATGTAAACCATGATGGCCCGCCAGGGCAAATTGAATGAAAAATTGCATTGCATTTTAAATAAGGGCAAAAATTAAATTTTGGTGTTTTGTTTTTATTAACTAATTAAGTGTAGAAATATTTATCATTTGTTTCATATAAGATATTTTGTAATGCAATATGACTTAAATTAGAAAACAATTAACTAGTAATCACAAAATAACAATTATTTAATAATACTTAAAATGATAATAATGTGTAACTTTCGCTGTTATCTCCCTAACAAGTAAGTAAATGTATAAATAACAATTATATAAAATACATTTTATAAGTTGTATTATCTTCATAAATAAAAAAAACTAGTTCATAACAATAAATCTGCTTATTTTAAATAGTTTTAACCAAAAGTATTTATAAATTGATTATACAGAATTTTTAATTAAAAATAAATGCTTTTTTAAATTATTTTGAGACATCAGATATATAGATGTAAATGTACCTAGCATTAATTTTTTCACTAAATCATATTAATACAAGTGTAGTTAATTATATAAAAACGTTATATAAACGTATCTACTTTTAATATAATACTAATAAATATTATTTAAAATCATTATTTCACATTGAAATTGCAATAACGAACGTAATTAACAAGCAATACAATAAACATGATAGTTTTTAAAAAGTTAAAATTAGCTACCTGATAAAAATTACTCAAATTACTAACAGTTAGTATAATTTGATACATTAAAAAAGTATATTGTTAAAAAGTAATTAGTTAATATAAATATTTATGCATAACAAATAATTTTATTTTTAATCATATAAATAAATGTGTTTGATTGTTTGTGTATCATTGTTGCACTTGTATAACCTTGACAATATTAAATAACTATCACGCATGTACTGTACAATGTTACATATCAAAATTTTATCAATGAATACCGCACTTTAGCATTATGCGATAATAGACATGATAAAATACTACTACAGAGCTTATGTAGTCTTATTGTGTTTCATCGTTCAAGGACAAATCTCTAATACTATGAACAACAGTGACCAACATGTTCTAACAGTTATTATTACTGCTAAAAAAAGTTTATTTTGACATGTTAAGTTTAATATATTTCAAATACCGTGTACAAATAAGACTGATGTCTATTCTACCTTATTTGGTAGCAGTATTTGAGTTGTAACGTGTGCATGAGTTAACACAAAGAGACTGTAAACATCTACTTTAAAACATGGTTAGTGAAAAAGTATATAAACAGCGATAAACTGCAACTTTTTTATTTAAAAATTTATAATTTTACTTAATTTATTAAGTGTAATTTTAATTCAGTTAAAGTTAATAAGTTTTCCAACAGTGTTATTAATATTACTTTAATAATAATAGTAATAATTATTATATTTGAAGAAAGTGTTTTAACAAATATTAATTATAATAAATAACTAATAAAATGCCCAAAAAGTCATTGAAAGCCCTATTCATTCCGGTGACGGCTATCGGACACGTGAACGCCTGCATAGGTATAGCCGAGTCGCTGATAGGGGCCGGACATCGGGCGACATTCCTCGTGAACAAGCAATGGGAGGGCAAACTCAGACAATACGGTATCGACGAGATCATACGGGAGGACCCACCGGGGCGGGCGACGAGTGCCAGCCCTGAACTGGAGGCTGGAAATGCTTTTAAAAGCATAGGTCTTGTGGGCCCCGGGAGTCCCATTGATAAAATGGTTGCCTGGGTGACCGAGCTCATACCATTTCACATTAAATGCGTTCAGGACATGGATGAGATTATTGCTAAGACTGTAGCCGAGGTACAGCCCGATGTGATATTTGTGGACCGCATGGTAGCCATGGCGGCGGTGGAGCGCACGGGTATACCCTGGGTATGGGTTTGCAGTTATAATCCGCTGTTTCAGTTGAATGATGATAGGACACCGCCACCCGGCTCAGGTATGCGCGAGTGTTTGTTTATCACGTTAGATGTTTAGATTTTTACCATGATAACTCTCACAAGTCAGATCATTAGAACAGTATTATTTTTGTAATGTGTTTTAACGGTCTATTAATAGACTATAAATAATTATTTATAACATCAATATTAAATGATTAACAGTTTTAAATTGTTATTTTTTAAAGTTACAATCTATTTAAAATATTTTAACTAACTAGCTATTAGATTTAGCAAGTAAAAATATAATTGTCAATATAATAAAATAATTAATAAGTGTGATTTATTATTTAGCAGAGGTTTGTAAAATGCTAACTAGTTACAAATTAATTTGTTATGTACTTAAAAATTATTAGTTAAAACATTAATTATCTTATCAAGTATAAAATTTAAAAAACAAAATGTTAATTTGAAAACAAATAATTAAAATCTATTTTATATCATAGGTTTTGCAGCAAACAGTGACCCTAAAGAGTGGGCAGTATTTCGAGAGACAGTAAACAATGCCGTGAAAGACATATGGCGTGAGTTTAATGACTACATTGTGGCCAACGGTTTACCACCGCTTGACTATTGCCAATACATACGCGCGCCGACACATCTACACATATACGCTATGCCCAGCGAACTGGACTACACTGATCTACGACCTGTGCCCGACCGGTGCCTACAGTTGGACAACTTTATGCGTAAAGATGCGCATGCTACTTTCAAAGTGCCTGACCAGTTACTGAACAAACCAGGCAAATTAATCTACTTTGGTTTAGGCACCTTGGTATCTTCAGATCTAGATAACATTCAGCGTTTATTGGCAATACTGGCCAAATCCGAGCACCGGTTCATTGTGTCAAAAGCACCGCATATTGAGGATTATGAGTTACCCGGAGATAATATGTGGGGCGATTGGTATGTGCCACAGATACAGGTGCTGCCATTAGTTGATCTAGTAATAACACATGGTGGTCATAATACTGTATCTGAAACATTATATTACGGTAAGCCAATGGTTGTGCTGCCGGTGTTTGCCGACCAGTTTGATAACGCACAGAGACTGCATGAGTTGGGCTATGGTATACGACTGGACGCCTACAAGTGCTCTGAGACCGAGCTGTTGGGCGCTATCGATAAGTTGCTGAATGATAACGAGTTGAAAGTAAAGTTGGCTAAAACATCGGCCAGAATACAATCGGACGATAAAATTGCGCAATTACCAGGGTTGATTGAGAAATTGTGCGATAGTCAAACTAAATGAACATAAATACTTATTAAAGTCAATCACATTTATTAATGATTTATAATTATAATAAAAATTAATTATATAAAAATTATTGCATATTTTCTGGTATTATAAAATAAAATATCTAAATAAAATTATACAGTGCAACCTCTCTTGGGGAAACACCTCCTTTAGAGAAACGGATTTTAAGCATATTTTGGATTTTCTGTAGCTTTAACAGAACCTCCCTTGAAGAAACCCTTTGGCTATGCATCTGCCCGTTTCTTATGGAGAGGTTGCACTGTATAATTTTATTTAGATATTTTATTTTATAATACCAGAAAATATGCAATAATTTTTATATAATTAATTTTTATTATAATTATATTTACAAAATGATTCAAATTTAATTAATTAAATAGATTTTGTCTAATATTCTTCTCGATTGGGCATTTCAAAGATACTTAAAAAGAGCCTGATCAGTTAATAAACAGAAAATTTGAAAAGGTCATTTATACAGTTTTAAAATTATTATTAAATTAAAAATGTTAGTTTTCAAACAACATACCTGTCTCTACTACTAACCATGGAATCACATAAACAAATAATGTCCATTGCATAGGCAAGGTATTAAAACTTATTTATTTATTAATTTTTAGAACAGAAATAATAAAATAAATGTTAAAATTATCACTTTTTAAAATAAAGAATTAAATTTAAATTTAATAATAAAATATTAAAATACATTTAATATAAATTGAATTAAATATTATAAACATTTTAATTTAAAACTTAACAATGTATCCGTCAACCTGTAATAATGCCATGCGTACTTACGATGGAATGTTGAGCATTAAATATGCAATATTTATCACGTGTTTTTTACTTTTAATATTCTGCTGTAATAGATAAAAAACACTAGATACAATTTCAAAGCAGTGTATTAACTATGGTGTAATTATAAACTCATTAACTATTATCTTATATGGATAAAACAGTTTATGTATCAGTAAACTAGATTAATAAACTAAAACAAACAATTATATATAGTTAATGTTCGTCATTTCCCATTTTTGAAAACTATTTTCCAGGAAAATAGTTTTGCGCCGGAAAATTCTTTATATTCCTTAAAATTGGGAAAATAAGACAAAAATGTGGTCAAACGATGACCA